AGTAGTATCTGAAGTAGCATGCTACTCGCTCCGGTGGCCAATTCGGACATGCTAGATACTACTTCGACTACCACTTCGACTACTACTTGGCAATTCGGACGCAGCTTGTGTCTTCCTGCATCCCCACACAGCTGGGGTTTATCAGCTGAGTGGCCTCTGATTGTTCTGTGGTGCTGCGGGTGCCTCGTTCCCTCGCCCTCGTGAGTTTCATTCAACTTTCTGATGGTATGTGTTTTAAATGACTGCAACTCATGCAATTATTATTAAGCCGTGGTGCTAAATTATATTTTTCTCACATTAGGTTTTGTGTGTGTGAGCCAGTCGGGCTGCCCTAAACTCTCCTCCCTCCTCTCGGGCTGCTATCGGCTGTGCTGCTGTCTGCTTCTGGGCTGCTGGTTTGCTCCTGTGCTGCTGCTGTGGTTGTTTCTGCTACCACTGCTGCCTGCTTTACTGTACTCCTGTCTCATCGCCTTTGGTAAGGCTGTCACTATCGCCATCTACCTTTGATCTGATGGCGTTCTGATTCATGTGAGATGACGTCAACACCCTTGGGACTAAGTTTTATTTTAGTAACCTGTTGCCTCAGCTTCCTCATTTTGTTGGCATTTAGTCTATTATGGTTTAAATCATTTGTTATTATTTTGTGATTTGAGTGTTTATGTGTTTTGTTTTTCCGGTTTGAGTACGTTGTTTGTTAGTTATTAGTATTTGGTTTATTTGCATGTTTGTTTGGTTTGGTCATTTCAAAATATTTTGAGTTATTTTTCTTCCTTTTTTTGCTTGCTAGTTTTCTTTATTTTGGTATTTGTGGTTTATTTCTGATTTAACCAGAGTTTGCTATTTGCACATCAATTTTATAGGCAACATTGTTGCTACAGTTAGGAGAAGTGTGTGTGTGTTTGCGTTTGAATGAGTGCGGATGAATGAGTGAAAAAAAATATTTTATTAACTTTGTTATTGGTGAAAATTGTCAATTAAAATTCAAACGTATTTGTACACTGGACCACGGCCTCCCGTCTTCACTGGCAGACGAACCTGTGTGTGCCCTAGTTTTATATTCAGGGGTAATTATACTCTCCAGGTGAAATTCCTGGGGTGGCATTGTCAGCAACAAAATCAATTCGTATTCAGTAATCAGTAGTTGATTGGTGAATCGGTAAATAGAGGTTACAGTATTTTACTACATCTTCTCCCAAATTCCATTCTCTGTTAACCCCGCCCCCGGCTGCCACACTAGGTTCACAGTTATTCCTGTGTTTAAAAAGGTCTCAATTTATGTTTCCAGACAAGAACATCATTCATTACAGATAAAGATTAATTTAATGTGAGACATGAGTTTCACAAAGCGTGTTTAAGAAGCCCGTCGGAGATTCTTGTAGATCCAGCTAAACTAAGCTTGACCATAAGCTTGCCCGGGACCAGGCTTGTCGAGCTGGCTGAGTTACCATGGTTACCAAACCACGCTAGGCCTAAAGGTCCTTACACACTGGGACCGTTTTTGTCATGCGATTATTTTGGACGTCAATATTTTTTTTCGAACCCGTATCCTGTCGATTAAAGCGTTCACATCAGCTATGTTTTCCTGTTCTGTGATATTGCAGCGTTTATTTTTTTGGATCATGGTCGATTTTTCCAAAGTTTCACATACTGTGTGTCCACTTCTGACCAATCAGATTTCGTGATGTTGCGACGTCAGATTCACCAGTATAGCCAACATGGCTGACCGCGACCGGCTGATTGTTTATGATTGTTTACACACACATTACAAAGGTAACGACCTGAAGGACAACTTGTGGAGAGTCATAGCATCCGATTTCTCATATGACGATGTTTGTGTGCTTTAACAGTTTGCTAAACATCTATGTTTTAACTTTCATCTCTGCTAACGGTTGTTACCATAGTTTCATGTGCTTATCTGGTACTGGCCCCGACTCAGTACATGCTATCATGACAGAAGGCCATCTCAACACTAGTGTCTAGTCCTCTGCCTCTTCAAACTTGGAGCTAATTGTTTCAGCAGAACTTCAAATTGTCCAACGGACATCCGAAAATAGGTTCTGAAGCGACCGTGGTACAGTTTCAGCTCCTGAACCAAGCAGTGAAACTCACTAAGTTCTCTTCTTTTTTTTAATATTGGATGCACCCATGTGCTATGTTTCTTTTTCTTTTAAGAAAGCAAAAGAAGTACCAATTCGCCATAACTTGAAGTTGAAGTAGACTCCATTTTTGTCCTCTCACTTCCACCCGGGATGCTGTAGGTTGTTAAGGGAAGGTTTTGCCCTCTTTCACCTCTGATTGGCCATTAGTGCTGACCATTTGGCTTGAGCGTTTGATGACGTTTCCAGCTTTTCTAGCCAATCAGAGGCAAAAGAGGCAGGACTTTCCCCCGGAAAAGTCTTCCCCGGGATGCGTCTTTTTCCCCCCAGAAAGTCACAAAATCGCATTGGGCTTGATGGGTATAGTCAGGCGTGTCAAAATTCGCCTCAGAATATTTCCTAATTTTGTGTTCTATACTGGTGTCGGCCCTGGTGTGTAAGGACCTTAAGCCTCATTTGTGGAACCTAACTCTCACTAAAGTTAGCGAGACTAACCGAAATAAGCCAGGACTCCCAGGACTCCTTAAATGCAATCATGCTGTTTACCTTCCAGAACAAAGTCTGGCATAAAAACTCTGGAGCATGTGCAGAACACTTGGGACAATTTAAGTCCGTTAATGCTTATACATGGAAGAAAAATCTGACATCCAATCACATTATCTCAGTTTTATTGTCTAAAGAAGTTTGAATCAGTTTGCCTTTGGTAGGACTGTTGTGTTTACATGTGTTTCAAAAGACCAGTTTCAGCTGGGCAAAGGCAATAAATCAATTTTTTGCACATATCGTCTGTCGTTAATACCTTTTTTCCAGGATTATATCTATGGTTGTTGGGAATTCATTCAAAGAAGACTCTTATTCAGCATCTCTCAGAGGGCTCAAATAAGCAGGTTTTGCATTGTACGCATATTAAATATCCATTACTATATAATGTTTATTTGTCATACCACATAAAGGCTTTTCTCCATACAAGTCCAAGTTTAATAAAAAATCTGGTAGAAAAAAAAATATTTCTTTTGGATGTACGAGGACCAAACAAGGAAAAAACACATACAACAGTATGAAACAAACAGCATCAATATGTACAGTTGATCAGGGTGCCAGAGGACAAGAGCAAAAGAACAACATGTATGCAGCAGCATATGAATGGTTTTACACTGTGTGGGTTCACCTGGGAATTGAGGTTTTATCAGCACTTTTTACATGGTAGATGTTGAATCTCCTTGGATTCAAAAGTATAACGTTCCCTAGGCTTCACATATTCAAACAGTCAAAATACAGACAGCAGTTGATTTATAGTTCAGGTCCTGTGGGAGGGTAAATTTCGTACTTTACATTAGTAACTCTCCCCCAGAGATGCCTCCCCCCACTGCCCTCACTCAGCTGTTTGCCACCCGATCCACCTAAAGATCCAACCTTCACTAAAACAAGAGGCCGCTCTTCCTTGGCATCTTTATCCCCGCACTGACGGCCATGCAGCTCTTCCTGAGGGAAATTCTACGAGGTCATGACTCTGGATTTTTCTGAGGACAGCCGGTTTCTTAGATGACAGTTTTGATGGACAGTTTTCTTCTTGATCCCTCGCAGCTGTCCAGAAAGATGAGGAGGGGTCTTTGGAGATCCAGTCCTGATTTTCAGGTTGATTGTCATCTGGTGTTTACAAGGGGGACAGTTAGTTGGTGTTTGTGATGTAGGCATAGGAAATGTTTTTGAAGCACGAAGATGGTGTGAGGAAGCTTTGCATGTCTTCTTCATTTTAATATCTCAGATACACCTTCAGATGTATTCATAACCTCATGTTTTCAATTAATGATCAGGGAGAACAGTCCTATGCAGGAGTGGTTTTATTGAGGGCTTTACGCTGAAATCCACAACCTTTTTGGCCATATCTTTGTCACCTACACAGTGTGGAGTGAGATATTTAACAGCTAGTAATATGATTACATCTTTTGCTTGAACGACCAGTAGAATTAGCAGTTACATTTTCTAAAGAATCAGTGTATTATTTCCCAAATGATATTTCAAACACACCAAACGCAATTGATCTCATTAGGGTTGACAGAATTTCAGTTTTCAATGCCACATGCTTTAAATTGGCAAAAGCGCCTTCAGTTTTACATTAGACAGGGTTAGAAATAGCAAAGCTTTGATAATCTTTAGAAAAGAAAGACAGAAGTGCTATTTGGATCCTGTGCCAGGCATATACCTCTGATCTTGAATAACAAAGATTCAGACATGCTAAAAACTGCAGTTGAGTGGCCACTGGAAATCACAAACACCAACTCAAACAGCCCATTAATAGAGCACAAATGTATAATGGTTCTGGTTTGAATGGCCCAGGGTCATACAGTCTACAGTCTTGACCCTTGGACCACTATTGGGAGGCTGACACCATTGCACCATGATTATTGTGATGTAATGTCTAAATACATGGAATTTGGAAACTGCAGAGGAAGGGTGGAGTTACAAACAATCCTTATTTCCTCATAGTTCTAAGTATTATTTTAGGGGAAATCCTATTTTGGAGCAGTTATCTGTCTGATTTAGGACTTGTTCTGTCACGGCACTGTCAGCTGATCTTTATTGCAGTGGCATCAAAACAGGTATCAGCTCAGGTCTCATTGGATGAGTCTTTCTTGATAAATGAAGTTATGGATTTCAGCTTAAAGAGGATCAGATTTTAAAGGAGATTTACTGAAAAAAGGTGCTCACAATGAAGACACATGAAAACATGAACAGAGCATTACTGATATATGAATATTAATATTCAAACAAATCCAATATTGAACCTGGCAGCCCTTTGAGGTTCTCTCACTTGTCATATTTAGCTGGAATGATTTAAATGTGATCAATGTCCACCGTCTGTTCTTTTAAGGGTGTCCAGAACAGATCCAATCACTCTGACCTCTATCCAAACCGGTATTTGGGCCAGTACTTGACCTGTCTTTGACTCAGTGCTGTCCCTGCGTGGACGTTACCCTTGTTCAGAGGTTTTGGCTGGGCAGGGGTTGGGGCTTTCCTCCTCTCTTTGCTTCGGTCTGTGATTGTGAAGCCTCGCTCTCGATTGTCATGCAGGCCAACCCGGGGAAGAAAGTGGGTGGAGACGTGCTGGGATTTGACCCTCGGACTGGAGCCCATTTTGGCTTTCCCTCTCTTGTTGAGGGCCACGAACCACTCTCGACCTGTCCTGTGGTTCCTGTGGATGACTGAGGTGTATGTGTTGTAGCTGTTCTCCTGGAAACGCTCCCTGAACTTACAGTCATCTGAGAACCGCTCCTACAAAAGACAGAAACCACTGATGTGTCAGCAGGCCTTACTTATCCAGGTCTTTGATTGAGTAGACAGCTGACTGGAAATCAATTCACAGGCATTATTTAAGGGATCAACATTGTGGTGAAGGATGCTGCCGAATTAAAGGACCACTTTATTTCTAATGTTCAGTTCTGAGATGTCAAAGAGGGAGCCTAGACATGGGTGAGCTGGTCCAGGGCACCAGGTTTGTGCAGGTCCTCAAACATAGATGTTTGGCACCCCTTTGGCTATACATTTAATCAAAGATAGTGTATTTGGTGACTGCATGGATTCAGTTTAAACATCATGATATTTGTTTTACTTCAGAAACTTTCCCCAGATATTTGAGACCTTTGCAGAAACTTGAATTAAACTGAATTAATTTCACAATGAGTTCAGATCAGATTCAGGTTTAATCCAGAACTTCCATACCCAGGGGTGTGGCTGAGCTCAAAAACCATTGAGACTACGCCCATGTTTTATTAAGTCTGTGGTCTCCCCTGTCCAGCTCATATAAAATGAAATGCGTAACAGTTTAGATTCAGTCCACATGTATGAAGATATTTTTGAAACACAGTTTTATTTTACTGAGTTTGGTCCTCTGTCCTCCTTAGAACCCAAGTTTTAGGCCACTTTAAAAGGAGGTTTTCAAAGAGTGTAATTGTTTATTGTTTGCCAGATACTGACTGGTTATCTAACCCCCCTGGATGCCCCCAATACAGTAAAACTGCACCTTATAGAGTGGTCTTCCACTGTGGTTAGTCTGAAGCACACGTGTGCAATAATCATGCTGTCTAATCAGCATCATGATATGCCACACCTGTTAAGTGGATGGATTATCTCAGTAAAAGGGAGGTGTTCACCAACACAGATTTAGACAAATTTGTCAACAATATTTGAAAGAAATAGGTCTTGTCTGGAGCTGTCCAGGTCTTCAAATAGACAGGAATTATTCTTTATGAATATATGATTTATTTCAATCACCCTGGTTTAAACACATCACAGCTTACCTGTAAAGGCAGATCTTTGAGTTTGTGACCACAGATCTGTGTAAAAGGTACCACCCCCAAGCTATGTCCACTTTTCTGTCAGAGTAAAAGCAGCAAAATGAAGCATCACATGCAGAGGCTGAAATTAGGGTTTCCACAGACTCTGTTGGAAGATAGATGAGGAGATTTGGGGGCTGTAGGTCATGTAGAGCAGCCCTATATGTGTCTCATACCAACAAAATGAAAGCTTAAATGAGTATTATAGGTCTCCCTTGACATGTTTCTGTTGTGAACCTATAAATATCCTGGTGGGAACCTCTGCCGTGCACTCAGTGAGTCGTGCTCTCCGGCTGCAGACTGGCTTCCTTGTATAACCTTGTGTCATCTGAAATAAAACAAACTGTTCTGCTTTGCTGCAGAGTGAAGCATGGCAGAAAATTATGCCATTACAGCATTCGGTAAACATGCCAGTCACAGGAGAGAGCGCCCTGCGCTAAAAGTTACTCAGAAAGACTGATTGCTCCTCTTAACTGGTCTCTGTAAAACAATCAGACCTCCGGGTCTGAGGCAGGTCTGAGTGTGTGCGTGCGCACACACACACACACACACACACACACACACACACACTAAACAGAAGAACACACACAGAAACAGACTGGCTCAGGTCACAGTCAGAGATACATTTTAGGAAACAAGTCCACTGAAGCAGGTCTAAACGTGCCCTTACACACCCACATACACACACTGTTAGCAGGACGGAGCTGCTCCCCCTGTGTTTGAGGCCATTCTGGCTGCAGTCTAAGTCCACAGACCTGATGGTTCAAATCATAATGCTTGTACAGCTGTCTAGCCCAGCTTTGCCCTGCTGCATTGGTCACACTCCTTCAATGGACCTCTCCCTGGATCCTTGGGGAGAGCTGCTTCAGGGCCTGAGCTGGAAACTTACTGGTGACTGACTTTATCTTCTTTCCACCAAGATCACCTTTACATGTCCTTTTTATTCCTACTGTTACTGGAGAGATGGAAAAACACACCAGATTAAATCCAGTTCAAATCTAAGACTACAAACTAAACCAGGACCAGATTCACCGTTTTTCATAAGAACAAACTGCGGAGGCCGGATCTGTATCCAACTTCTTCAAAAGCACAAAAGTCCAAAAAACTAACCAGTACAATAAAAAAAAGGAAAAAAGGTTATTAATGCTTTTAAAATATTTAGAGTGAGTGCAAAAATGTTACCAGAAATGTTACATTTCATTTCAATAAAGACATTTTAATGAGTTTAAAACGTTTAAATTTTTTCTCTGCATTGTTTACATTAGATAACATTTTTATATTTAATTTTGAAATTTATGTTATGTGAAAAGTTTTAACGTTTATGTTTCTTCAAAGAAACTGAAATATTTCCATGTTACTTAAGTTTTGCTGTAATTGAAATCTTTTTTGTAATTTTGCAGATGTTTTAGTGTTGCATTAAATATTTTCACACAAAATTTTTTATAAATCATTTTCTCTGTTTCATTCAATTATTTTTTCTGTTTTGCATGTTTTGGGTTATTGAAACCTTGCCTCTCTCTGAGTAATATACCCATCATGTGAGATATTTTTGAGGGTCAGGAATTTTTTGGGTATGTCTTGAGATGTTTTTATTTTTTTATATTTTTGCAGATTGTGTTGAATGAAACATTTTGTAATATCCCATTTCCTCATTGGTACATTTTAAACTGGTGTCATTTGTAAAGAGGGTTGCTGAGGGTTTTTTTTGTCACTGCACTCATATTAATGAGAGCAGTCTCTTTTTTTTTTACCTCCTCCTCTCCCTCCCTCTTGTGTGTACTTTCCCTATCTGTAAATGCAATTTCGTTGTGCACAGTTGCAATGACAATAAAGACCATACCATACCATACCGTACCAAAGAGACACATCAAAGTTTTGGACATATATATTGGCTGACCAGTTGTACTGAGGACGACTTAGAGTGGAAATCAGTCTGGTATTGAGGGTGAAGGTTGTGTGTCAGGAGTCAGAAAATCCAGAAGTGTATTTATTGAGAAATGTTTGTAAAAACAGAAACACTAATGGACTTTTTTCAGCTTTTCACTTTGAAGCTTTCACTTTGGAACTTAATGATCTGATATAATGACATGTATCTAACAAACATGCATGTTTAAATAACAATATGGGGTCCCAATAAACCTCAGAGAGTCTGTTGTCAGTAACAGAGTCAGATCCTATTTGCCATGGAGACATTTACCCAGAAAACAGATTCATATATTCTCAGGTATATGATTGTCTCTACCCAACTCCCTTTTATCCTCTCACTTTGTACGTGCAGCACATGCAGGCGACCTTTGACCTTCCAGTAGAGTCTGTTTGTAATGACCTGCTGAGCGGGTCGAGCAGTGCGGCATGCATCGGTCTCCTCGTCTGTTATTTAGCCAATAAATCTAACCAGTGAAAACATTTGAATATTCAAGATGACAGACGAAGAAACAGGAGAAGGTTTAGAGAGTCACATGACACCCGATGAGAAGCCCGAGCCTGCACTAGCCCCCGACGTTTACATCCCACCAAATCATCACGGTGGTTAAACAACAGAGTGCAGCTGCAGCCACAGATTGGAGTTTTAACTGAACAAATATTTCTGAGAGGCAGAGCTGAGAGAGGAGGCAGAATAAGCTCTGAAGTCATCGGCTAGAGCCCAAGATCCAGACTCTGAGAGAGCGAGGATTCTACAGTGAGAAGTTCTGCAGAGAAAAAAATATCAAACTTGGAATAACTGCAAAATAAACAAATTCAGAACACAATCAGCAAAGTCAACTGATTTAGTATCAAGATCTGTATATTAAACTGATTTAGAATCAAGATCTGTAAATTAAACTGACGAATTTAGAATAAAGCAAGAAAGAAGTAAAACTGCAAAAATGAGAAGAGTGTGAGACTTTATCAGACAAAAGGACCTGCTAGCTTAAAAACAGAGGAATGATTGTACTCCCTTTGTTGCTGCAGACTTAAATTTGAGACAACAAAACTGTGAAAAAGTAACACCCATCCAGCTGCATTGAGCTTTATATGAGTGTAAAAGCAGCCAACACAAGTGTAAACCACAGACATCAGGTAATCTGAGTCACTGCAGAGGAAGTGAAGATGTATAGTTGGATTTAAATTTGGGATTTTTCACCAGTTTGGAGTGGATGCCATGTTTGACCAGGCGGCACACAAACCTTCTGAGTCAGAGGGGGGCTATGCATGACAAACTACTTTGACTCGGCATGCTGTTTATCTTTGCAGCATTGTTTTCTCCTGTTATCCATGGCGTCAAAGTTTGGCTCTGTTCGGGATGTTGTGACCCTGAGGAAGTTTGTAATTTTGCTTCTGTCTTTCTGTAAGAGGGATAGACAGAATATGTTTCTGTTGCTGCACAGTGGCATTAGTAGGGTTTCTGACTGACTGTGGCATGGTTTGCACTTTGAGTAAAGACGCCACATCACTCCCCTGCTGACCGAGTTTTATGAACAATCCTCTGAGCTGAGGGGGCATAAATCTCCACGACTCAGCGCTCCTGCACACAGCAGCTCACAGTCTCTCCATCTCTCTGGCTGATTTTTCACTCCACATATTGATCTCCCTCCTCTGTGCACTATCAGCCGGCCCAGACGCGACTTAATCTGCTCTTTCCATTAACACATGCTAATGGGAAGCTGCTTCTATCTGTTTGTCTGCCAGCGCTCCCTTAGATGAGCCGTCAGCCCGGCTGGCCGGCTGCAGGCCGACCGTCCGGTCCGCTGACGGCAGAGGGTACGAGCTGCTGTGGGCAGATTTCTGTCTGTTTAGGGGGATTTACAAGTCTTGGAAGCCACAGCTAAAGATTGCAGCAGTGTGCTGTGACATGCTGCTGTCAGATTTATGGGATTTTGTCATGCAGCCCTAATGCAAAGCTGCAAAAACTAATAAAACAAATATAGCTGCAGTGTGTAGTTAGGATGGAGGCAAAGCAAGTCACACAAAGATTTACAGGATTTGTTTGGTAGTATTGGTGAGATGTTTCCTAAGATCAATGTGTTTTAGATCTAAAGAAAACTGTCTGAAAGATTGTCTTCAACTTTGGGCCAAGAAGTTCTTCAGAGTTCTGACACTGACCTGATATAAGGACCCATTGAGAAGCTGCCATTGTAGAGGGAGGCTGTTATTGAATGTTTGCCCCATGTTTATAGATAGACACACCATAATGTCCTCTATCATCAGCAGTACAGTGGACAATCACCTCTGCAGAAAAATCAACAACAGTGTGGACTCCATCCCACAGGCCGCCATCAACCAGCTCAAGTAAAAGCTGTGTGATGGATGTCACGGACAGTCTGTTGGTCCAGTAAAGCGCAGATAGACAGACAGACAGATGGAGCAACCTCCAACAGCTCAGGGACCAAGTTGGCTGCGTAACATCCAGCAGACAGGTATAGCAGCTCCCACCCTTTCCTTAGAGGCCACGCCCACGTTCAGCCACCCCTTTAATTCTTATGGTCCTTATACACCGGGAACAACACAAGTATACGACGCGAAATTACGAAATATTCAGAGGCGAATGTCGACATGCCTGACAATACACAAGCACAATGCAATTTTGCGACTTTGCGGGGGCCAAATAAGTACATTAAACTATAATCCATAAACGTAAGGTAACAACCAAGACTTAATGGTGCTGTGACAGCAACACGATTGAGTTTGAGACAGTAAAAATTCATATGGTATATTGTATCTGAACAGGTTAGCTTACGAGCTAAAGTTACTTAGCACAGAAGAAAGTTAAAACAAAGACGTTCAGCAAACTGTTAAAGCACACAAACTATCATCATATGAGAGATCTATGACTCTCCACAAGTTGTCCTTCAGGTGGTTACCTTTGTAATATTTGTGTTTTTTTTATCAAAAAGCACTCTGTTCTCTGACACGTAAACAATCAGCTGGTCAGCCATGTTGGATATACCGGTGAATCTGACGTCGCAACAACACGAAATCTGATTGATCAGAAGTGGACACACAGTAAACGAAACTTTAGAGAATTAAAAAATATAAATGCCGCAATATCACAGGACAGGAAAACATCGCTGATGTGAATGCTTGTATTGACAGGATACTGGTTCAAAAAAAAAAATTGACATCCCAAATAATCACACACAAAAAAAAAAAAAAACGCTCCTGGTGTGTAAGGACCTTTACTTGTGTCTTGAACAGAGAAATGAGCTACATAGATCATAACACGCTGTAAACATGTTTAGTTCTGCTGTAAAGTTTTAACATAGGGCTCTATGGGGACTGACCCACTTCAGGACACAACCTCTAGTGGACACTTGGGGAACTGCAGTTTTAGCACGAATGCATCAACTACTGAGTTCTGCCTGAAAATTTGCAGCTGCATAAAAAGTGGCAGCACATCAGGATGTTAGTCTGATAGATTTCTTTTTATGTTCTATAAATGGATTAACTGGGGGCACGCAGATGTCCAAGCAGGTTAGTGGGCCCTACCCTGAGGACCATGGTCCCCGCAGCGGTTGCGGGTTCATGTCCAGCCCCAACCATGTGCTGCAAGTCCCCCCCCTCACTATCTTCCCATCCTTCCAACCTGTCCTATCAATAAAAGTAAAAAAAAAAACTTTAAAAAAATTTAATCAATATATGATTAAATAAATAAATGGATTGATTAATGAAAGCTTATAGTTCACACACTCAGCTCAGTGGCTGCAGTCAACAGTTGTTTTTCAGAGTTGTAAGTTAAGCACAGTCACCGTCATGTGTGCACTCAAAGTGAATTTAAGAGCACAGTGTGAGAAGTGTGACACTTACAGTTGCGTGGAGGCGTCCTCTTTTATTCATGGCGAGGAATCTGTTACTGTAGACCCCTTTGATGCCGATGACCCCCTGAGAAAGGGCAAAGAGCTCCAAGACACCTGTGAAGACAAACAACACACTCTGATGAAGAATAACCGAGAGTATTTTAACTCCTGCTGTCAGTTTCTGTGTCTCGCTCATCGTCGGGGCAGATAACTGAGTCAGATATGTTCTACTCTTTTGTCAGCTCTTGCAAATCATTGACACTGCATTCTCTACTCTAAAGAGTAGAGGGACCACCTGTTTTTCTCAGCTCCCAGTCCAAATCCAGCATCCCTGATGGTATGGGGATCATCAGAGTCCATGTTATGGGTATCTTCCACATCTGTGAAGGCTCCATTAATGCTGTACTATATCTACAGGTTTGGGAGCAACATCTTCTGCCATCCAGACAATGAGCTTTTCAGGGAAGACCTTCATATTTCAGGAGGACAATGTCAAACCACATTCTGACAACAGGGATTACAACAGCATGGATCTGTAGGAGAAGAGTCCTGCTGAAAAACTGGACTGCCTGCAGTCCTGGCTTGTCCCCCATTGAAAACACTTGGAGCATTATGACACCAAAAACAGGACCAGGGAGACCCTGAACTCTTGAGCAGCTCTATCATGCAAGAATGGGACAAGATTTTACTTACAAACTCCAAAAACTGGTCTGCTTTGTTCACTAAGATGACACACGGTGAGACACTTCTAATGTTAGACAGGATTGTCCAACTGATATCTCCATTAGCACATGTACATTTTTCTACTTTTATTACTACCACTTTCCTTATTGTTGCTGTGAAGAATAAAACATGTCCCGATAGTAAAAGAGCCTTCAGGTTACAGTCCTCAGCCTCGTCTCTGTGCCATCCTGTAGTTACTGATAGCACATGGCTGTCGTCTTGAAGTCCATGTAACCTGACAACTCTTCTGAGGCGGCCCATGAAATGGATGCACTTTCATGCTGAGATCTGACTGTGTCGCCATCAGAGGTGCAATGCAGGATCACATTCTGCTGCAAAAACGGAAGGTCTGGTTTCTGACATCAGTCCTCTGGCCTGAAGGAGACAGGTGCAGCTGATCAGTCCTTTAAAGATCCCAGACCCTCTCTGTTATTTGTTATTTGTTGTCTCTGTTATTCTCTGCAAAATATTCGACTTATGCCTTTTCCTATACACACCTGGTGCAATGCAAATAAAATTTGCATATAAAATACATCACAGGAGAACAGAGGGGGAGAGAGAAGGAGAAACAATGGCGACTACACCCATAAGTGATCTTGACCTGGTCATGGTTGTAAGCCTATTAAATAACAGAAAGAAAAAAAGAAGAATCAAAGTGCCTGGGTACATCCAATACAGTTGCTTTTTCACTCTGCAGAAGTTTGTAGCCGATGTAAAAGCTTGCGTGGACTTATGAGTTCTTAAAAAAAAGCAAATTATTCACTTTGCTAATTCCCTTCCCTTATTCACTGGTGTGTAACGACCTTCAGAGTGAACTCCTACTTTTCCTCACATCCTGTGATAGCCTCATAATGCTGAAACAATTTGTAAATAATCTTTTAAGTTCATGAGTTTGGATTTTAAACACGAGTCTCAACTTTTCCCCATTTAGTAATCACTTTGAGTTTTTCAAACTTTTACTTATTGATCTCCACATACAGATAAGGTCAATCATTATCAGCTTATATCTGCTTTATTTTTAACTATTTTGCATGTTTCCCTTTTTGGCTGTTGCGAATTACGTCTTTAGATCCAACAAATTAGACCCAGGAGAAAAACCTTGTCTTTAAAGCAACATAACCATCACTATACCAGCTCTCTGTAACTGAGAAAAATGAGAAAAAAATTAGATTTCCTTTCATTGACTTTATTTGCACAATGCACGGAAACAATGTAATACCTAGCAACAGTTTGTTTGTTTTTTTTTATCTAAAAATGTAGTATTTTCTCAGTGTAGTTGACTTAAGGTGATTAAACATGACTAATTATCAGAGTTTCACTGTTTGGAGCTGGATCGTTGCGATGACAATCCTGCTGATCAGGAATCCCACACATCCTCACCGCTGCACCTGTTACTTCCACAAATAGTCTACCTGCCAACATCCACAGACACAAACAGGCCCATCAGCAGATGGCCGCTGCGCACGAGGCTCATAGGGTCAGCTGCCTAAGTTTAGGAGCACGAGACTGACAACCATCTTGTCTAAATCATTGATGCCATATATTTAAAGTGGATACTGTTACGAACAGCCGAGGATTAATCGGAACAGACGCAGGACTGCAGATCCCAGTGCGCGCTCTCAGCGGGGCGCGCTGCACTCACGTGCGCGTCAGACGTTTTATGATTTAGCAGTGAAGCTGCTCGGTGCACCGGGACACAGAGGGAAGAGCGACTTACTTAGCAGGTTGGGCTCATGGCTGCCGTTCACTCTGCCGTCCGGATGAATCTGGAGGTGAAAGCCGATGCCAACCCGACAGTAGAGCCTGCAAGTCCTGCGTCCCGAGCGGATCTTCTCCTCCAGAAGTTGGCGCTCCAGGGAGACGTGCTGAGCTCTGGCGGCGGCGAAAACCAAGTAAGCGACGGTCAGAAGGTAGAGAGGAACATTCATTCTTCCAGAAAGGAGACTGTGCTACGCTAGGTCCAGCATGTTGGCGTCTTTCTGAAGGTCCGGGTGCGCACACAAGCCTGCAGCGCTGCTGGGCATTACCCCGGCTGCAAGAGCTGGAGCTGTGGAACTGCTGGCACGGGGATATTTATAACGCCAATGATCTCACTGCTCGATGCATGCCTGAGCTCTAAAGGACGCTCTTTCATCCGGATTTTGTCGCCGAGATGCCACTCCTGCTCAACACAGATCCACAGCTGCGGGGCGTGAAGAGAGCGCGACTGATACAGCACGTTTTCCAGGGAATCGTCCGCGCCAGGACGCACCGAGAGCGGCATTTTACGCACAGAGAGACATCGTTTATCCAGACAGAGGTCGCGAGAAGTTCCTATCAAAAAACACCAGAATAGTCGTCTGGGGTATCACGTTTACACAGAGATAAGAGGAAACTGGCATAAATAAAGCATTAACCTCAGCAGAGAGAGCTGGGGTGCAGACAGCAGAGATCATCAGGTGGAGCAGCAGAGTTGAAACACTGACCCATGGGGACACTCAGCAGCTGTATTTATAGGCTGAAGTCCACCTTACCATCTGATACATCCTTATGCTTACAGGAGAGGCTCTGACAGGCTGCCTGATGTATTATAAACTCTGTGTGCAGGGCAGAGGAAACATTAGTACAACACTTTCAGGAAGTGAACAAATCTGAGGAGCACAAACAAAACAAACAGGAGCCAGAGGTCCAGGGTCTAAAGGAGCTGAGGGACACCGAGCAGACCACTAGACCAACTCCCATCTGTCACTCAAAGAGGCCACGCCCCCTTTCCCCACCTATTTAATTCTTGATCTTATGTAAAAACGATGAGTTCTCTACAATTCAGTCTGTTCAGTATTCAGGAACAGAGGACTGTAAACATGTTTTTACATGGGGCTTTATGGGGACTGACTGACTGCAGGACACAGCATCCAGTGGACACCGGAAGAACTGCAGGTTTTTGGACTTAAGTACTGGCAGCACATTTCAGCCCTGATGTTTCTTTTTCCTTTAACTCAGGTTCGACTTCTCTTCCCGCAAGATTTGAATTGTTTTTTTTTCTTAATGTTTTGATTTGTTTTATTTCCACCAACCTGGTCTTTGAGGTTTGAGGACATCAGACCCACACGGATAACCAATAAAACAGACAATCAAGCCTTTCAAGTGTTGGGCCAGAGGATCATGGACGTGGACAGATCTGTCCTTCACAATCACAGACTTGTAAATAAAGTTAAAGTAGTGAAAACTCTCTCTGCATCATGTGACTCTGTAAACTCTGCCTGTTGCTCAGTGCCTCACATGTTCAGAATTAATTTGATTAATTTTCCATCTTTGCATGTGTTGAATGTAATCCGTCTCGCATTGTGTTCCAGCCTGTTTGAATTGATGAGCTCTTACCCAGCAGTGGATTATGTCCTGTAAGGGGTCTAATTGTCTATGGCACGGCGAGCCCACATTACCTTCTATGTAAACAGAGTCGGTGTTTAGTCGCTCTGTTCTGATGGGCGCTCATTCCTGTGAGGCGACGCAGTAACAGTGAACTAATCCTCCTGAGGCGTATAAACAGGGATGATCCTGATTGATTCCCCGCCCCATTGATCCCGGCTTTTAGCAGCTTTTAGTCTAAGCAAACAGCAGACAGCCCCAGATTGTCTGAGCCCAGAGACGGTGATCAATCTGAGGGTCCCTCGGGCACTGTGGGGGGGGGCATCAGAGGAGCAGAGGACTCAGTTATCAGCATAATTAACACATTTTGTGATGATACCATTTGTGTGGACGTAGAAACAGTCCTCAGTGCTGGGAGTCTAAAACCAGGACTCCTTAGTGTCCTGGTAGTCTACTGTTAATATTAACAAGGACTGAAATGCACCTAAACAACGGCCCCTATACATGCTGTCCTGGGCTGACAGATACCTGACAGATTGTAGCTGTAACTTCATCTTTGACAATCCAAAGTTAAAATGTCTGAGCAGATCTGCTCTAACAGACCCCCAAAAGGGACAACCTAAGGCTGTGACACTGACCATAAAACTCCAGGAGCAAAACAACCAGAGAAATTCCAGAAGGCACCTTTTTTATTTTATAAACTAGCAGAGGGAGAGCTTTCCCACATTTTTTATATTGCATAGCCATTTAGAGGGCACTGGTTTTACATTAAATCTACTGGTATGGAATCCAGAGGACACCTGCTTATATAGAAAGTGCAGTTTTTTACTAGATGGACATTCAGGGGGCGCTGTTTTTATGTGAAATCCACTGGAGGAATATCAAAAAGGTTATACTTTTGTATTTTATTCACTGAGAGGGCATCTCAGGGAACTACCTGTTCATTAAGAGCGAATTAAATCCATGGAAGGGTGTCCAGAGGGCACCTTTTCCAGTTTTCACATCCAAGAAAGAGCTCAAGAGTGCTTTGTCTCTTTCTCTGTCAAGGATGGGGATGCAGAGGGAGCTGTTTATAAATGAAATCTCCTGAAAGAGCAGAGGCCACATCATTTTGTATTCTGGAAGTTCATTCAGAGAGCGCTTCTTCTGTGTTTATAGACAGTTTGAGCATCCAGAGGACACTTTTCAAAGCTTCATCTGTTAGGAAGGAAAAAAACTTTCACAAAACCACTGGAGCGGAATCAGATGGCACAGTTTCTGCATTTGATCCACTGAATGAAGGACTCTTGTTTGTCATGTGCAGACTGGAAGTACATTCAGAGGTTTTGGAAAGTGGGGGTATTTTTTTTTACATGATATCCTGGAAAGGCATTCAGACAGTACTGTGATGATAGGAAAGAGTGCCTTCTATATTTGAATTGATTGCAACTATGTCCAGAGAGAAAGGACCTTTTTGATGGGATTGCTCATAATTCGATGGTTCTGGCTTTCTCCAATAGACTGAGAACCAAGGGGGTGAGGGTCTGATGACTGACTGGTGTAACAGAGCCAAATATTTCATCCTATCATGAACACTGACTGCAGACAGGAGGATGGTTTCCTGATTCTTTGGCTCTTACTGGGTAATTTTAGTACTTCAGCCTCTGTATGCTCAATATTGAGGAAAGTCTTTTCTCAGTTTCAAACGTGTTTGACTGTGATTACACTCTTGTATGGGTCAGAGTAAATGGGCCGTGTCTCAGATCCTTGTATATTATTCTGTGTATTATTGTGCTCTGTGAACCTTTGTCATGGGAGTGCATTCCTGGAGCACGTTCAGTTTGTGTGCACATGTTTGTCCATGAAATGTCTGAAAATGGTCTGTCAGACTCCTCTGAAGGCTCAGGGGTCAGCCAAGTCCCCCTCATGTGGTTCCCCCCTGCTCTGATGTGATTTACAGTGTTTATATGAATGTGTTACTGAAGAATGAAGACGTGTCCTGCAGAGTGAAGAGGCCAATTTTAAACACACACACAGATTAGTGCAAACTGATTATAATGACATCAAGAGAATACCAAACACACCCTGCCATGTCCCCCTTGGTGCTTCCCACCATCAGCAGCTCCTCTGAAGCTTTACTGATGTCATCTGTGTCAAATCCCCTGATTTAAATAAGGTTGACAACATGTCCCCACCTTGTTCTTGGACTAATCTGGCAGCAGAGGACCCTCTTATTCACAGACTGGGCCTCTGAAGTCAAGGTTTCTGCAGGATAGGGTCTGCTGGAAATGCAGTACTGATGTCGTGCTCTTTCATCAAACCAAAATGCATTTAAAGGAACATTTCAGGACTTTCGATGTGAGGTTGTCTGAGTTACATGTCATAAGTTAGTGTGTCAGTCATAATGAATGTTTGTAGTTTCTCATTGCCGTCATCATCATCATCAATCACTTAACCCATTTAAACCGGGACAGTATGTACGCACTTCAACCTTCTAGGCTAGGAGCCCTGCTGCGCATTTCTACCCATTAAGTTGGGAGCGCGGATACGTCATTTTGTGACATTCTGTAGTTTTTTAATCATTTCTCGAGTCGTGGTGAATCAAATCATCATACCAATCTGCCTCTGATAGGCTAATAACGCGCTCGGATTCATGCTCGGATCTTGCTACGTGTGTCGTGAGGAAAGTAAACAATGACAGGCAGAGAGCAGCTTTGGAGAAGAAACATCCTGCAGTGTGAACAACCTCTTCATACTGAGGTCTTTGACTCACACTATCAGTGATTTCTGTGAGTGTTGCATGTCTTTGGGTGAGCACAGACATGAACAGACTGTCAGCCACGTATTTATTTATTTATTTTTTATTTTTTAGTGCTGCTTTTGTACTGGCACTATACTAGGGCAGCTGTATACCCTTTCAACACTTTATTTTTTATATTTACATTTGAATTAAATTGACACTTTATCATGACTGCCACTCGTTTTACAGAAAGCAAACAGTTTCTTATTCTTCAGTGCAGAGTCTTTACTTTTATTTATACAGCCGCTTTATTTCATTTAAGTTTGTTTGTTCAAGGTATTCAATAATGTGATGAAAGTTTGGACAAATAAAAGATAGTTATCTTGAAAGCCACACGTGTAAGCTCTCAAATACTTTTTGAATTTTGTTTCTATCTGCTACAGAGGCTGAGATATCAGCTTTTTTGTAAACCTAAACATTTCAGAAAACCTCAGGATCTGGGGGCCCTTCTTAAAATGGCCCTCAGGATTTCAGAGGAGTGGCTCAGACAGGGTTCAGGTCTTAATGGGTTAATAGGGGAGCACATTTCTTATGACAAGATTATTGATGATTTTGCATCAAGGGAGGCAGGAAAGGTCAGGTTTTAGTTTTAGTTTGTTGTTTCCTGTCATAGAACAGTCACATTTTCTTTAGCGTGTTTTCAAATTCAAGTGTGATTTGTTATGCAAGATTATTAGTCTATATTTTATTTAATATTTTATATTATTATTCTCTTCTCGTACTGTCTTGTTACATTTTTTGTTAAATATTTGCCACTTTTATGTTTATAGTGTATATTTATTATTTAAGCTCTGATAACCTGTT